CTACGAGGTGTATTATGTTAGTATTTTCACTTATTGAAGTTACAAAACTTTTGCTCAATTTTGTTACGAACTCGAGTAAAATAAATACACTCCCCGTCTGTTCCTGCTACCTAAAATTGACTTTAAAATCCTAAATATATCTTTCTTTTACTACTTTTTTTCCTAACTATAAACTGACAAAATCGGACGGAATAACACACAAGTAGAAATCTATACAACATTATAAAGCTGAAGAGTTTGTTTGTTTGTTAAGGTAAACGTGTGTGTTGAATAACGTCACGCTATGACTAATAGGAGTGGGGCAGCAATTAAAAATGTTGCAAAAACGGGAAAGCCACTGGCGGAAAGCTGTTTATTTATATTATTCTTCTGCAAGGCGGAAGATTCCTTTGTTTTCTTTATATTGTTCTTTGATAAAAATAAATTTACGTTTTCTAGTAATCAACCAACACGTTCTGATTTCCCAGATGTTGTTATGGTTTGAAACAAATAAATGCTTATTTTTATGATCAGCTATCATAACGTTGAGAGTTTTTTCCAAGACCTAATATTTGTTTAACACATTTTCTTCAAAAGAAGTATTTAGCTCTTGCCAATCGCTTATCTATTGTTTTTTAGGGATCCAGGTTTAGCGTTGGAGAGTATTAGTTAGAATTCATAATATTGTTATGAGCTAGGCTTTGAGATAAGAATTAACACCGATTAAGTAAAACATTTTACTAAATAAAATTACACAAATATCCAATACTAAAATACAGAACTCTTAACTTTACTATTCCACTCACTCTGTCACTTCACTATGTCGTCTAGATAGAAAGTTCATCGCACTAGTTATCGCTTTGAATTCAGTTCACTATTCAATAAACGAATGCCGGTAAGGGCAGTTCACCACGTATTTATAGAGGTCAAGGTAGTCTTTAGCAAAGTCTACAATATTCAAGATGTACCTATTCCCGGCATTTCTAAAAAGTTATAGAACGGTTATCCGTTTCATTCTCACCAGTGTAGCTTTCAAAATTTAAAGGTTTTAAATTTAAATCATTCTAAATATGAGTTCATCGTCGGGTATATAAGCTAAAGCTAATTTTTTAGCTCGCTCTTCCTGAGCTTACTAAATTAAAATAGGCCTATTTTCCGGGACCGACTGTTTCTAGTCGTGTGTTATTTATCTATTTATAATAAAAAATACTTTCAGAATGAAAAACAAAATTAATAATTTTCAATTTATTATGTCGATTTAGACAACACAAAAACATTATAGGTAATAACTTAAATAAGTTATACTATATTTATTTATATGCTACTTTTTACCTGATGACTATTAATTTTAATCATGCTATTTAATAATTAATTCTCGCTATTTAAATGTGATTCACGTCTCTTCAACTTGGTAATCTGTTTGTTTCACACAATATATATAGGGAAAATGTACAAAATATTATACATAATTTCTATAACAAAAACGATTTCATTACTTCATTTGAAAATCTGAGTATTGTCTTAACGGTTATTTTAAATATATACATATATTACTATAACGACATAGTTTATTTTTTCAAGGTTATAAATTAATATATAAGCTTAAAAATTAGAGCAGCTCGATGGCGTAGTTGTTAGCGCGTTTGTTCTATGAAGCAGAAGTTGAGCAACTTTCGCAACACATTTTACTACTTTGATATGTTCTTTAGTGATGATGAATGAATGTTATATAATGATAAATTATGGATTTGATAGCAGTGTTACTAATTAAGTAATTCTAAATTTATCCGCCAAAAGACATATCAAAGTAACGTGAAATTAAATTCCGTCATAATAACGCTAAGATGTCGTATCCTATGACTAGAATAAAGATCATGGCACATTTTCCCTATTCGATTCGATACGGAGAATGTACCATTCGATTAGAAATAATGCCCTAATCCAGATTTTTCTAAACTCTTATGGAAATAAAGGAATAAAAAAATTTTGGGCCATTAATTTGCATTGGAACGATTTATGATACATGGAAGAGTGGAGAAACAGCGTTCTCGCGGTGGATCATCCACAAGATGGTTAAAATATTAAAACATCAATGAATTGTTCCCTTATTGAGTGTACGCGTAGTGCTACGATAAGTAGCAGTAAAGTAGCGACTTGCTAGATTATAATATTACGAGTCGAGTTGTTCCGTATTCATCCTATGACGTCTCATCCTATGCATTATTTTTTCCTAACTCATCCTATATTTGTTCTTCACTAAACCCACAACAATTTATTTCAATTTTGAATTCCTTACTCATCCCATCAGTGTTCTCAGCTCATCCCAATTTCAAATCACTTAAAAAATATAAGATTTTGTGTACGGTCTGACCAAAAATATAATCTTTTTTTTCAATCGGAGTTAATTGTTGCTTTATAGTTGTTATATAAAATAAAATAGCAGGAAATCTGAAAGATATAATAAGAGATAAGTTTTGCATTCACAATGCTATATTTAAAAAATTCTTTAAAATAATATCTTAAAAAATCGTAAGTTTTAACGGAAAAGAATACAAATTGTATAAAATTGGTTTGGAATTATAAAATAAGAATTCACTTAATATTAAATAAACTATATGTTTAATAGCAAGAACAAAGAGTATTATAAAACAAAATTAATCATAATGGTTATGATTATTTTGTCGTTTCTATAACTGACAAGACAAAATCAACTGCATTTTAAAAATCATCCACAAAGATCACATATTAAAGAACTATTAACTAGTTATGATTAGTAGTACTAGCCAAACATCGCCTCGCGAAAGATTTGGTTTATAAAATGGTTTAGAATTTTCTAAAAATAGAAATAAAAACTATATAAGATATTGATAGGATTAACAACGCAATTGTAAACTATTGATAATTAATAACAATAAACAATCAACTACAATTTAAAAATCGTTTATAAAATCACAGATTAAAGAGGAACCACTAACTCAAATGAGACTTGTACAATATTGATTCGCTAATAGACAAAAAATGAGAAAAACAAAATAGACTTTTACTTTGTTTAGAATTGACTTAAGATAAACATACTATCTTGCGTCTGTCTCATGAAAAAGACCCAGAGGCGCGACACCCATGAACGGCGCGAAGAATTGTTAATCCCTACTTATTTTATGTAGTTAGAGATCTATCTACAGAGGCCCAGAGGGTACTGCTAACAAAATTTTGAATTACTATATTCATCACTTTTTTGCCTGGACCTGCTTCTCTTTCTTTCGTACACAGAGTATTGCTATAGGCTATCGATAATATCAAATCTGCTCTAAAAATTGAAATTGAATTATCTAAAAAATGACGATGAAACATTTTAAAATTATTATACACCTAGGTATCGACACCTCGTGACCGATACGGTGTAGAGTAAAAGTATCGATTCCAAGGTATTGTTGCATCCCTAGCCATTGTTTAGGGTCACCCTTCATACAGATGCAGAGATGTGCCCATTTTTGTATATGATGTGCCCATTTTTGTATATGTATGTACGTTTATTGATAACAATATGTCTTAAGTGAAATATTTGAAATGTAAGGAATAAAATTGTTTATTGGTATTATTTTGTTTTACAAATATTACCAAGAATACTATAATATTAGAGAAAATAATATTATAGGCTTATGATTATCTTTGTCGAAAGTGTCTCTAACGCTTGCAAACTTAAGAAAAATCTCTTCAAATCCATTTAATTATTTTTTATTTTATCCCGAAAGCAGAAATACCGATTAGAATACACATTAGTCAGTTTCCTCTTTTAAAGATTTATGAGCGTGGAATAGATAACAAAATAATCACTGAACCGCTTTCACGTTTTATGCCTGTTTGTTGCAATTGTTGTAATTGGAGAAAAAAAAAACAGAGCACATAACAAACTACCAGCGATCTCTACGTTGTAAGTTGAGAAGTAAGTTTTAAACTGATTTAATTTATTTATTAGGAACATGTGTCCTACTCCCTGTCTCCGGATTTCCCCTGAGTACGTACCAATCTGCATTGCACCATTATCCTTATTCATTGATTCTTTTCCATCCATCAGGAAGATCTGTGCCCCAGTAGTGAGGACATTAAAAGGCTGATTATGATTAAGTAAGTACATATTTTGTAAATAATAATACTTTTTACTTCTAATATGTACTAGATAAGGATATTTATCGTATACATAATAATTTTCCTTAAAATATTAAATATTGTTTTGCTATCCATACTTTTTAGTAATATTTGCTTCAGGATGAGTAAGGAATACACGTTTAGGATGAATTAAGAAAAATATTCATAGAGTTTGGAATACAGAGTTTGGGGTGAGTGAGTCTAGTATAAAATGTTTACGTTTTCTACTAAAGAATTTAAATGTTCAAATTTCATTTAAAAAAAAAATCTAATAAAATTTAAGGCCAAGAGAGAAGAAGATTAAGTTTTATCACAGGAGGTTCTATCAAATCGACAAAGAAAAAGGTGGGTAGTTATACAGGTGATATATAACGTGCGTTTCCTTTATTTTATCATGACCATCAGCCTTTTAACGTCCCTACTGCAAGGGCTTAGACCTTCTTTATGGATGGTTAATCCTTTATTTAAATAGATTTATTACGGAACCTTTGGCATTAAAATGTTATACTAAACATCTATATATTATCTATATATCGAATTAAACGAAATATCTTTTTGTTTATTTTGTTGATAGCAGCTGAGCTCAGATTTTTTCGCGATATGTAATGTCGATAAGGGACAAGGTCGTGTATTAGAGAATGTTGTTATAAAATTTGAAAAGAGAATTTCAAATGAAACAAAAGAAAATCATGGTATCCCGTTATTTTTTTTCTATTACAATAAACAGTTTATAATCTATGGTATCAATGGGTTTATTTTTGGCAATTATTCACATGCGTGTTTGTTTCGTTTCATTCACAGAAATATGCCAGTTCAGATCTGAAACATGTTAATACGATAATCATAACAATGTTATTATTATACGTATTAATATGTTTTCGCGGTATTAAAATCAGATGTGAGCGCGTTCAGGCGCAGTCTGTTCGCGATCGTCATTGTACGTTGACGCTTGCCGTTAGACATTTTGAAATTCGCGCGGGAAATTCGACATCGATAAGTGACAGTTGAACTTTTTTAAATAAACACTTTTTTATTATTTTCGAACAGGTGCCAATCGTTATAATGGTCAGATGATATTTTATTCAATTTGTTTGGTTGTGCGTGACTGATTTGCATTTTGTTATTGACTTATTAACATTTCTTGACATTTCGGACTCTTAAGGCTGTGTTTAGGTATTAGTGTTTACAAAAGCTGCCATGGCGAACAAGTGAGTAGAAATTTTTCATAATAAACAATTTAGTTCACTTACACTTTAATTAGATATATATTTGTTTGTAATAGATTAGACCATAATAAGAGTTCGATTAAATTTCGCCTCAATACAGAAAAAATAGGACTATATTCTTTGATTACAGTGACGTATAAGTGTAGATTACATAATATTTGTTTAATAATAATAATAAATTTTTCATAATTAATACATATAACAAACGTACGAATGTATTAAAAATCATATGGCGGTCTTATCGCTTAAAAGCGATCTCTTACAGGCATTCAATTACGGAATTGTAAATATACATATATAGAACAGGAGAAATTGTTTATTTTTATTTAGGCACGACGCACGACAAAGTAACTACAATACACCTGAGGGGATGTAATATTACAGTCTAATAATAGTCTTATCTCTCAGAAGTCAACACTACTCCCGGCAGCCCTCGCCATCTTAACGGCCTGCTAAAGAGCCATTTCACACCTCTTTTGAAGGACCCAAGGTTATATACCATTGGAAACGAGTGGGATGGGAGATTGTTCCTAAATATAAAACTATATTTTTTCCATTCACAAAGGCATTTATGTATCATACAAGTACAATATGAGAGTACATTTTCAGAATTACGAGAATATCTTTATCAATATTAATTTTATTTACTTACCAAGAAAAAATGGTAAGAAATTTAGCGTAGGCGATCGCTTATCAACCGATATTTGATATCTCCTTCCTGTGAGAGCGCAGTGGTTTGACGAGACGACGCGATTATCATATTTGCTTACAAGAATTAGCGCATATTTTTCACACACCTATTATATAATCATTATCATCGAGATTCCATTAGCGTCCAGATGACCTCTGTGTTTGTCACGAACGAAATTCGGAAAAAATCGGAAAGAAAGATTTACTGCGCATAGAAACAATGCCAGGTCCCTACGTTCTATCAAATTCCTATTAATGTCCCCGCTGGGACTCAGGTCTTCTCTATGGATGGTATTGAATCAAATAGAGAGAATTCGTTGCATCATAAATGATCAAACTACATCTTATTAACGTTTGTAAAATAGGCGATATGCCGTTTTTTTTCAACGGAGTAGACTTGCAGTTTCAGACATAGGTCTCTTCCAATGCTATCGAAATTGGCGTTTTTAAGCTTTTATATATCCAATATCGAACTGCAGTGCTATTTAATAAAAAAAGACAATGCAGCATTGTAAAACCGACTTCAAAATTGAACCTCTAATGCAGCCCTGTGTTCGATGCTGAGTTGGAGGCTGTTTTTAATAGAAAACCAAAGTCATCTAATATAATCCACTCATATTTGACGCCTATCAGGCTCGACCCATCCTTTAGGCAACTGACTAGAGTTATAAAACTCTAATGGAGATTTTAAGGAAAGAATTGCCGCTAGATTAAAAAAAAATGCTCCTTATTCCTTGATATGAAAAGTTTTGTTCACCAATAGTGCTACTTTCGAAGGGTTTTGAGACAAATAACATGGAAGCAGGTCATTGCCATGCAAACATTTCACATTCTTTTATCTGTTTGCTTAAAATGGCCTGGTCTGGTGTTATCTTGATGATACACTTTGATAATTTACAAGTTATTTTTCATTCATAAATCATTGAAAATCATTCTCTAGAAAATCATTGAAGGTCTTATTATTTGCCGTTATTTTGACAAAAAGGTTAGACATATAATTTTTATTCATCGATGTTTTTGATTACAATCAATTTTGAATTCTGAATTTCAGTCAAATTTTTTGTTCGGCAAGCTTTATTCACACACTAGCTAGCTGATTTCCCGCTAATTTACCCGCATGTGACGTAGCTTCCCATAGGCGAATTAGGTAATGATCGGACCAGTTTTTCGATGATTACCCTCCGCAAACAAATAAAATCAAAAACTACCTCTTTATAATGTTATTAAATAATTACAGAATTCATGGGCTTTAAACTTTATTCGTGTAAATATCGCCTTGAACATTTCAATCTTATCATCAGATTTATAATCAAGTTTGAGGTTACAATTTTTCCTAGACAAAATAGATAAAAAATTCCAATATAAAATGTCATCGGAATTTGTAATAAGTACATAAAAACTATTGATTAGACTTTAGACTTCCGGGCCTATCAGACATGCTAAATTAATATCTTTTATCAAATTTACATACAGGCATATGTAAATTTGAATCAAGATATTCATTTAGCTTTATTAATTTAACAAAAGTTAGTTTTACCTAAATCTTATTTCCGCATGTGATTTCATCTGCATAGGATTAAAAATTGGAAAAAATCATTCCATGAACAGTCGCCTAGGTATCTCAGTGCTGAATAAATGTGATTATACTAGACACACTACAAACAAATATCATCTTCTATTGTTGTTAAATTAGAGTAGGGTTGTCAAGAATCACGAAGATAACGTACATGAAAAAAAATTGCTAGCAACGAAAGGCATTTTTTTATAATCACTGTAAGCGTTTGTGAAATGAATATTTAAAATTGGACGCATTAAAGCAGGCGCCACTTTTTTTAATTCCGGTCTGCTATCGGAGATTAAAAGATTATCATGATTCTATGGCACAGAATCGTTTCAAGGCGAAATAAGCCTTATTTATTAAAGTCTCTGTGATATTGACAGTTGCAAATCTTTAGTCGATGCGTAAATAATATTGTTGGGCTACTTTTATTTTTGTTTGTTGGATTAAGCGCACCATACAGAGACGGGCTGGTTTTATTGATATAAAATGACAGTTTTGTTTTTAGAGTTCCATACCCAAAAGGTAAAGCAGGACCCTATTATTAAGACGGCTGTGATAGTAAACTGAACCCGAATCAAATAAATATTAAAGGGGGGGAGGTGTGGTCCCAATCAAACAAATAAGTACTATACTTGATGCCCTGACCCAGGGTTTTCCAATCTGTGGATTGGGTCGTTGGCAAAAGCAAAAGTCAACACTGTAGCAAAACGATTTTTGTGAGAAGGATAGACTGCAACTGGACTGAATGAATGACCCATATGAAGAAAGTTATAAATGTAGTTCTTTAATTATATTACATATGCCTTTCTGTCGCCAGAATTTACGAGCTTAAAATTCAAAAAGTTTGAAAAACACCGCCTTGACCAATCCTTATCTGTGCACCCAAAAAAAATATATTCGTAGATCTCTTTCACATGCGTTGCGCTAACGCTGCCATATACTGAAAGAACCATTTTACACAATATCGATTAAGTAGTTTGACAAGAATGATAACCCGGAAGCATATTGGAGCGGAACTGTATAAACGTCAAAATGACAGTGACAGCTAACCATCAGATAAGGATGCTCACAGTGAAATCGATAATTAGTACTACCAGTAGTAGTCGATCTTTTCCTCTCTAACAAATGCTAATATACCAACAGATTAACAGCTCAGATTAAACATAAATAAAAAATATCTAGACCAAACACATCTCAATATTTTATTGATGCAAAAGAAAATAACCGTAAATCTGTAGTTATGCCAAGGTGAGTGCTAAAAACGTAAACACTATACAGAACCTATTTCTGGGTGGGCCACTTGACCGATTAAAAATGGAATAATAATCGTTGCGTTATTGTATCACGGTATAATAGGTAACGTTCCAAATTCAAACCGTGAAATATTGTAATGTGCTATTTGATGTGAGTATAAATTAGTGATGCCTCAGTGTAATATTATTTTATGTATTTTACTGGTTAAACAAGTGGCACGATTGTTTTTAGTATTCAGAAATAGGCTTTATCATTAACAAAAAGTGTTTTGGAATGGAATAAAGGAAGACGACGGATGGAATTTACTCAAATCGAATGAGGAGAATGAGCCATGACTGGGGTAGTTTCATAATCGATACTAATATTATAAAGTGACCAGATAAAGTATGATTATTTTTTACTTTGCAATGAGTAGACTCCGAAACTATTGGACCAATGTTCCTACTGAAAGCTACATCATACACGGACGACTGATTCTATAATTTACGCGGGCAAGAAAATGTACATTTAGCACCGACAACTACAAAATACGATTAATATGTACTTTTCAACTTTGCGAATAAAAAACAAATGATGTAATTTAAAACAGTAACATTAGTCGCTAAACAGATTACATATTACAATATACAAGTGCTTGCCAACATCGATGAAACTCAGATATTACCTACTAAAGTAGTAAAAATTATAATATTTTAGTTCATCGAATATTTGAATGAGAGTTTTTGAAACCTTCAAAATAAGATAAGTGACTACCATTATTTATAGTCTTGACAGCCAAAATGTATGGCATTACCTCCACATTGAATAATATTTATGACATTACTAAATAAGTTTTGTTATGCTCAAAACATGCCTTTTGTTATTTAAATACGGATAATAAAATATTTCAATAGCAGTATGTACGCTAATTACGGTATTTGCATCTCAAACGACGGAAAACAAAGAGTTTTCGGAACGATATTTTTTTTTCCAAACTTGAAGAAAAATTTGATTTCTTTATCTTTATTATTCTTTCGTCCGATGTCAATAGCACTTTTTTTAATAATGAAACGGCTCACTTTTTATAGTTTTTAGTCTGTTAATAATTTAAAGTGTCATCGCTAAAAAACTACTAAAAAAGGTGGTTAACGTGATTATTGTGGTAAGTGTTCCTATAACCATAAAATAAATTGAAATGTGTATTCCACTGTAACCTTCGTCTTTTCGATTCGATAATCTGTCGGCTATTAAATGTGTATCTTTTAACGGATAATATCATAAATTATGATAAACATGTATCTGTTTATTTATTGTCAACCCTAACTTAAAGCGCCAGAGCCGGCGTCTGCTTTCTGGCGCCAAGCGATTTAGCAACTTACAACGTGAAACGGAACGTGTAAAAAGTTTTTAACACTCAAAAACCATAGACATTTTTTTAACAAGATTATAGTGTAATTTGAATGTGTGCAATCATCATCTAAAATAAACAATATCAATA